TATATATCACTTTTAATACATATTTTGATGTAACTATACTCGGTGTGTGCCATGTTAATGTTTGCATTGCAGACTGTCAGGGTGGCAGCAGTAGCTACAGTCAGCCAGCTGCTGAATGCCAGCACGCCGGACGATAGCCAGGAAAACAACGCTACTCTGGGGTAAACTTCATCTTATCTTTGTTACAATTACTGCAAAGAATCTGCCTCTGCTAGCTTGTTCACATCTCAGGTTTAATCGCCCATGTGTTCCGTGTAAAAAATGTTCACCTTTACAGACCTATTGTAGCCAGAAGCTGGGGAGAGAGAGTTTTCTCATGACAGAAATACGTTTGACTGTAGCTGAAGTGGGGGATTCAGGATCAAAATAGGGTTCAATTAGCTTGAAAATGAGGTGTCCACAGTTGTTTGGTTTTCAGTTCATATCAGAGCTTTCAGAAAAGAAATCCCCAGTTCCTCTGTTGTAATCATGACTTGGATATTGATGTGAAAGCTATTTACAAGTTCCTCAACAATGAATCAGAGCTTTACACCAGCTTCATCTGCATTTAATAAAAGCCGGGACACTCACTTGATGCTGTTTTGGCTTGAGATCGAAGCCCTACAGGAGCCTTAAAAGAGACAAGAAAAATCCTGATGTCAATACTTCAGATTTTAAAGCCGTTTGTTAGTTTTCTAAATGAATAAAACAAGATCCGAAGAATCTGACCAAACAACAGTTTTCAATACTTTCTCTTACAAACTCTCTTCGGACTTTAAATGCATCCACTTGGCTGTTTGATTTCAGGTACAAGGTTGTTAGTCATTAAACAGCACAAGGCTGCATAACGAAACCAAATGTGTAGTTCCTTCATGCTGCACACAACATGTAATTAAGTGGAGGCTTGTATTAAATATGGTAACATATAATATATATAATAATAAAATAAAACAATACACTTTCTTATATACATATATACAGACACGTATCTACACCGAAAAACCCTGTAAAACACAGAGTCCACCTTCTCTCATCTGGGCGGAGACTTGCTCTGACAGCTCAGAACCTGGACCACCTGCCGAGTGCTTGATCCGGGCTGTTGATTGGGCAGGTCTCTGTAACGAAGTGGGCACAACAGTCTCTGAATTCTGTTGTCTGGTCAACATGAGTCCCTTTTGGTCCAGACCGGATCTTTAGGAGCAGAATTAAGTCCCAGCTGGGCCAGCATGGCTCCTCACTGGCTCTTTCCTCTCCTCTGAGCGATCACCCGCCGTGGCACCTGTCCGTCCGGTTGTTTGGGCCGGGTGGATAGTGGTCTGCTGCTCTTTAATCCAAAAACCCCGTCTTCATCTTCCAATGACAGTACTAATGTCAGAGGTAACGCATGTTTGGAAAAAAAGCCATAAAAAACAAATAAAAAAAAGTATAGCGAAGTTTGAAGGAGCTACCGGCTGCTGCTTCTACAAGCGCTGCCGGTTGCCAAATGGTTTTCAGTTGGTAAATGAGCAGTGCCTAAAGTCGAGTTCAGCCTTTCATTTCATCTGAATTTTTTACCCTGCAGATTTGACAATGTTAGTATTTCTATATATTTCTGTGTATTTTGTGGCCAGCCTTACGGTGACCCTGGACCAGCTCTCTGTGAACCTCAGCCAAAGTCTCAACACGTCTCAGAGTCAAGTAGTCCAACCAAACCTGGTGGTCCAGTCGGCACAAATCCCTGCTGCAGACACTCAGGGAGTCCAGTTCACCTCTCTCTCAGGTCAGTGTCATGATTTTGAAGCCGGTCACATGATCTGATCAACCTCTCAGGTGTTCAGTTCTGCACTTTGAAAGCTGGTCTTATCCATCTAGAACTATAGCCAGGACAGGGATCATAAATTACCAATGACTGAATTATTATGGAACAAAGTTTTATTTACCAGCAGACCACCATGATGTCCCACTGATTTTATATGATCGTCTGTCCTGCTCTGTCCAGGTGACTCCAGGCTTTTAATTAGTCTAAAGTCCACATCAGCTGCGGTGTTATTTAATCTGCTGGATAAAGGTTCAGCGAAATTTTATGATGTTAATAGTCATAACTCTGTTCTGTGTCCTGCTGTGTCTCCGGTTTAGTCTTTCTTTTATTGTCTGTTTGTACTGCTGGTCTTTCCTCATGTTTCTGTATTTTTGCAGCATTTCAATAACAGTAGGTTGGACTTTTTTGTGAACTTATCTTTGTTTTTGTCCAAAAGCTGCTGGCAGTCAGCACCACAGCTGGATTTGTTTTTCACTGATCTCCCAAAAACCGCAACTAAATGAAATGGGTGGCCACGTCCACGTC